AGATGAAACCTCGAACGTCATTACTTTTGACTCGATATTGCTACCAAACACGAGCAATCCTCCTTAAGCAACCGTTAGCGAAAGCAGAAAGACGACGCATGTCTTCCACGCGAATCGACCAGGACTCGCTCTCATACAACAACACTGAGCAAACAGATGCACTGTATACGCGGCACTTTAGCGAGAATGAGACTTCGTGACGACGCCACATGTGCCTCAGATTGGCAAATGCTGATGGTGCTTTAGTGATGCGAAGAGAAACCTCCTTGCCGCTGGTGCCGTCAGCAGAAACACAGCTCCCAAGGTAGACAAACCTATCTACCTGTTCAAGTTGTGCCCCTCCGAGAGTGAGCACGAGAGCAAGTGAAAGCTAATCCATAAGCAGTACTTTACACTTCGATGGGGCGAAACTCATGTCATACTTTGATGCTTCAACCACCAAACGATCCAGAAGGAGTTGCATACCCTGAGGATCGTCACTATGTAAGGCGATATCATCAGCATAATCTAAGTCGGTCGCGCGCTCACCCGGTAGAAGCTCTAGGCCTAAATGTTGGAAACTTTCTAGAGCATTCGACAGAACACCTTCGATTTCGAAGTTGAAGAGGAATGGGGACATAGGGCGGCCCTGTCGCACACCGCTATTGACAGCGAATTGCGAGGAAAGCTTGCCATATACCCTCACTCTGCCGGATGTGTGAAGGTAAAGTGCTCGTAAGATGTCTGTATATTTCTCTGACACCACGTTCTTTAGCAAGCAACGCCATAAAGATGATCGATCAACGGCGTCATCATCCTCATTATACACTTTAGTTGGAGGTGGAAAGCACCTCAGCTACTGTGCCGCAATATATAAAAGGAAAAAGGAAAATAAATGTAACGGTTGCATGCCAGCTGAGCTACCAACAACGGGTGGGTAGAGCATTGAAGTCAGTGAAACTCTATCCACGGATGTGTGGATCAAAACTTCACCATACGCCAACACCTCGAGCATCTCCCGCTATCTACGCATTCCTAGACATAAGTGCCGTTTTTAATTTGATCTTCGGAGTGAAAAGCGGTACGTATGTCTAGGAACGCATAGATAGTGCGTGATGCTCGAGAACTTGGCGGATCGTGAAGCTTTGATCCACGGATCCGCGGCCCGGACGGAAATCAGTTTGTTCTTCACGGTAGGGTGATTCACGTATTGGGGATAGTCTACGGAGCAGAATGTACGGCGATAGTTTGGAAGCAACTGAAAATAGACTAATGCCGAGATGATGAAGTGCGAGTGCCTTGCTTGAAAATCTGGACAGTAACTGATTCGCCCCAAGAGGAACGCACTTTCTCTTCATTCCAACTTTTTGCGAACAGCGAGGTCATCTGGGTAATGATCACTACTTCGCCGTATCTGATCAAATCCGGAGGCAGTCCGTCGAAGCCGGCAGCCTTGAACCGCTTCAAGCATCGAATCTCGAGACAGACTTCCGCTTCACTGGGTGGATTCAGTAGGATGATCCAGTGTGGACAACAAGTTGTACTTCATGTACTGATGGACATTGGAGACCAGTTGAAATGCGGGTGAAAGTGCTCTGCCCAGCGGTCCATACGCCTCTGTTGGTTGGTGATCGGAGACTCATCCGCTTCGAAACAATTCTCACTGACACCAGCCTCCCTGAACCCAGTAGACAGAATAAGTTATAAAAGTTTGCGAGTGTACCCTGAAAGGGCAGCGGTATCCTTCTCTAAAACACACTTAGACCACCATGTCTCGCGATCCTTGAGTAGGCTTTGCTTGAGAAGCCGGTTGGCAGAACGACGCCGCTCCTTGCAATCTGGTTCTCTCAGAATATCTTTGCAGCTTTCAAACAGCTCTAGAGAACCAGCACTGATCCAAGTTTTGAAGGGGCGTCGAGCTAAGCCGCAGGTTCATTGTCCGGAAATGGTCATAACTTTCTGTATACAGGTCCCATGTCGCTCTATGTCTTGCGGTAGATTTAAACTGCGTGCGTATGCCAGTGAAGCCTGACAGTTTGCCTGGACAGAAGAATTAATTAAACTGTTAGTATCAATCTTACGGTGCTTCGTGTTTCCGGATCCCCAAAACACATGCAGATTTTCGCGCAGACCAGAGGATGATCTGAGACAACCAAGGTGGACCAAGAGGACCTGCAGTCCAGTACGCTGCCACGCCAACTGAAGCTAATTGAAATGTGATCAATTTGGGACCACGGTTGAATTGGCGAAGTAGGACGTCAAGTTGCAGAATGCTTCTTCGTACGCCTGAAGTTGGTGCTCAAGAGAAACAGGTGGTTGTCTTCACATAATGTGAGAAGCCTCTCTTCGTTATCAGAGCGGTTCTTACCGAGCGCATGGTGACCACCAAGGTGGCGTTCGTATGGCAATAGGCGGCCAACCAGTGCATTAAATCCCCCAGCAAGGACAATGACATCCGACCGTTTAGCTTTAGTCGAAAGCTGATGTAGATCCCGGTAGAATTCGTTCTTGGCCGAGCGGCCACTGCAGTAAATTGAAGCGTACACGGAGATCACAAACAACTTTCGTCTGGCTTCGCGGCGCAGTAATCATGAACTGAAACGACTACATTCTGAAAATGTTGAGGCTAATGTACGCTGAAAGCACATTTCAACGTATCGACCGACCGGAAAGCCTGTCTCAGGTAGCATCTCACAGCAGTCGTCATCTAGAACATCGCGGCAGTGACTACGCGAATTACAAAACGCATAAGCCTAATGGCTCATCGACGTCGAAGCTCTACGGGTTGCTAAAAAGGCAAAAGGAAGGCCAGGCACTCCTACTAATTTTATCAGTGGTAAACTCCCCGCAGTATAAATTGACGAGTTGTTTATTAAGAATCTTAGTCCCACTCCGACAACAGTTGAATCTACACGGCTTTAAGCTTTTCATCGGACTCATTGAAGACCACGTTAAAATTCACTTAGCCAACAAGGGCATGTGCTCATTAGACGCCTGGTCGTTGTTTACTAATGTCTCTTTGAACGAGACAGTCAATTACAAATGCCAGCTAACTGACGTCGAAAATTTTCGTATGCAAATATCGACAGACTTGCTCAAACAGTCCCTGCTGTTCTGCATAATTAGTCTCCTACCGCCATATCGATGGAATAAATATGGGCAGTCCGTTGGGTCCCGTACTGGCCGACTTTTTATGATAATGCTAGTTAGGCGCCTGGGGACAGGTCTCGCAACTATCTTACTACGAAAGATAGGTTAGTGACACTCTCGTGTCTGGTTCTTCGAGACTGTACATCGAGCCACTAAAAGGTAACAGCATCCATGTCAACTTAAAAGTCTATCATAAATTCACATCAGCCGTATGGTTATCGGGCTAGTTAGGCGGTCCGTCCACCTGAAACCAAGATGACCTGGTTAATATCCACATTACCATTTTCACACCCATAGGACACAAGCGTGAAATGGTGAAAATCTTCTTCACTCGTGCCAACCGTGTTTGCTCGAACGATTGTCTAGCTGAGCAGATAGGAACTAGAACGGGAAACGATTCCCCTAAACGGTCCATCGAGAAGCACGGCCAGGTCAGACAGCCGAAAGAAACCATGCTGACAGCAACTGAGAAAAAGGTATAGCTAGAGCTCCGATTTAAGGGTAACGCTGACACGAGGTCGTTCAGAGCACCTACTGAGCTGCAGATACTGTGGTGATCACCAGGACCCGCAAACTGTTGCTAGCTTCAGTAAAGGAAGGAGAACCCAGCGGCGTCAAATCATACTGTAGTTATCAATTTGAATGCAACTGCGGCATCAGCTACATAGGCAGAACAGAGAGGGTTTTACATTCTAGATTGACGGAGCACCTGGCAAACTGCGTTCATTTGTGAGGTCTATCAACAGGACGTCAGCCATTCCTGGCCCAATAATTCCGTGTGCACGCAAGCCACCAGCGTAATCAATCGGCATATTTGTTTCCTTGGCCCGTCATCGGACTGACCCCGGCTACGGGTTTCGAATATTATTAAGTCATCCCAATCCATGCTTCTTGCGGTTCACGGAGGACGTGAAGATGTACTAGCTAAAACCTTCCCTGTGTGTGCAGAAACGATCAATTTTTGATCTTCGGCGGCCCTAGTTCTAAGGCCATCGCGACCGTTCACCTTACTGCATTTGATCGCCTGGTAACAACACTGGGACGGTATAGGACAAGTTCCTGTCATGGTACTTGTACTGATGAGACACTACAAAATGCTTGCATCTACCATCGTTCGTCACCTCACTTTGTTATTCAAACTATTGAACGGAATGAGCTGTTTAATATTTAACGGTCCCATAGCCACAAACTCTTGAAAAACTGACACTACAATCTAAATTTTGCATTTGGTAACAGAACTGAGATCAAATCAACCACTTCAAAGTTGGATTTGTATTACCCGCTGTGTCTTTGGATTGCGACAGGCAAGCTTCATTGAGACCTCGGTTACCTATGAAGTAGATCTCGATCGTTTCGAGCACAAGCACCGTATTCTAAATGGAGGTGTTAGGGTGCCGCTCCTGCTAACACGGACACCCTATGACCGGTTTCGTTCTGGGTTTGATTCATCAGGTGGAGGTAGCCTGAGTAGGTGTAGAACTCGAAGCTTAGTGGCTAACGACTGACGGCTGATCGTTGTAGATTGTGACGTAACATACTAGTGAACCGTAGTAGCTATAATCACATGTGAGCAACCACAGGAACAATTTACTTTGTTTAATGCTACCAGAGAAGATAATTCAAAAGGAGGTCCTTTAACGCGTTACTTTTAACTATCCCATCACTCAAAACTGCCCTAGTCAAGTGATCGAATGCATCGTACGAAGGAAGCTGCGCCGCAAACTGTTGTCTGCTATAAGAGTCTGTCAACTAAGTTTTATGTCACACCATGAATAGTTCTTGAGTCTAGTCACGCAACCGCAAGGCAATCAGATAATACCAATGTTTCTTGCATTCTTATAGCAACTGATCAGTCAACCACGGCACGGTCACTATCTGATAGTAATGGGATGCCAGAACATGCTACTGAGATTTTCATTAATTTCAGAGTTTGAGATGATGCCAGAGAAATTTGTGATACGAAGTTGAAAAACTGCAAAATTACGACCACATATTTTAGCAGCTTGGGACTTGATGACATTCTACATGACGGATAAAAACAATCATAAATCTTTACTGTTTGGATAAAGGTAAGCCTGGACAGTTGAACTCGTTTGTAGCTAAAGAGATATCGCACGCAAGAAAAATATTCAGGGAACAAAACGCATATCGAAGAGTAACTCACCTTCCCAGCTGATCGTATCCCTCTACACATGCACGCAAAGGTGATAACCCAAGAACCCACCAGTGCGCCAAATAGTTTCCACTGAATGCCACCAAGGGTCTCGATATCCGGACTCAACTCTAGAACATTGAACCTGGAAAACATATAGATTATTTTATGAGAATAGGCAGAATTGGAAGGCAGCTTACTCAATGACCGCAGTTTAAATGTAATTTCAGCTATAAATGAATGGTCTAATCTCAACAACGCAAGGCATGTCTGCACAAGCACCATCATGGTCAAACAAAGACGAATGATTTGAAAAACCACAAAATTGTTGCAATCATTTCCGTGACATATTTGAACTGTGTATTATGCGGGTACACGCATGCTTGTGGTGGCGAGATCCTGACGGATCGTCGAACGGCTGCTTCCACTGTTGTGCCGTGGGCCCTAGTCCTGAATGCCTTCTCGTAGTGAACGCTGGGTTGAAGCTGGGTTGCGCCCCTTTTCTAGTTAAGGGTCAGGAGACCCAATTCCGCGTGATCCGGTTCACTGAATAATAGCTAAAGGTCCACTGCATTACGGGTATACATTTTATTGAAAGCTTTGGCTCTGGAAGCAAATCGTTCTATTGTCAGTTGTGGACGCCATGGCAGTATCATAGTCTAACCCCTCAAATAGGAAATACGCCAATAAAAGTAATCCAGTGCTGCGTCGGCCGTCGCGCGGTAGCCTTAGGAAAAAGATCGCCTTATCTGCCACATACACAAGGATGGATAAGCGGATACATGCTACCGCGGACGCCTCCCTTCGTTCTTCTTTCCCTCACATACTTTTTCCGTCCCCATTTCAACTAACCCACTACTTACTGCAATCCATGTGACCACGTGTGCGACTGCCTTCCATTGCAATCATATGCCTCCGCGTAAAGTACTCAACATCGGGTGCTTGAATGTGCTCACACTACTCGACCGGAATACGAGTAGGCGACTCGAGCAGCCCCCTACAGCGGTCGCGATGGTACGTGAGCTGTACGGGATCGAAATTCCAGCTCTCAGCGAAAACCGGCTTGTTGACCAGTGGAAGTTACATGAGGCTGGTGCTGGTTACACGTTCTACTGGGTGGAGATCGCCATCTATGCATCACGTAAACCTGGGTTCGGATTTGCCCCATCCGACCACCCAAATGGCCGGTTGGTGGCAGAGCTGATTGTCATCAACCCACGCTCGATACGTTTTCCCCTACGACTTGGAAGACGAAAACATGTGACTGTTATTCCCACGTATGGTCCCATTATGTGCTCTCCTGATGACACAGGGGATCAGTTTTACAAGCAATTGTCCACCGTGATATGGTCTGTGTCGAGCAGCTGATCACTATCCTCACTGGGTGAGTTTAACGCGCACATTGGGAGTGTGTGCTGCGGTGTGAACAGGCGTAATCGGTCCGTAATTTATTGGCACAACCAGTGGGAACGGCGGTCAATTGTTCTCACTATGCGCTACTAATGGTCTGATGATCCCGAACACGGTTTGCACTAGTCGACAATGTTGTGGCTATTTGGACGCACCCATGGTGTGGCCGCGCTCACCTCGATTATTTGATCGCACACGAACTCGAGATGCGTGAAGTGCATATGATACGTGTACTACTTTGCGCCGAGTGTAGCGCTGATCACAAGTCGGTGCGGACCATATTGTACGTATATCTACGTAAATTCATATATTACTCATCTGCCGTGAATCAGGCAAATTTATTGTTCGTTCCTTACGTACCATGGAGAAGAGGATTAAGTTGGAGAAGGCGGAGGTTACGCGCCTTGGTGATGAGAAAGTCCTAAGCTCAGTGAGCGACCCGTAAAATCAAGTTAGTAAGCAGGTGACGGTTGCTGAGGGGGAACAGATCGCGCACAAACACTGCAATCAAACCGATTGGTCTGATAACAACTGTGCAAACATTAGCGCGCTCGTGATGACAAAGAATGCAGCGATTGCTATACATGTGGTAGACCAGGATAACTGCGTCAGTTTGTCACGGAGGAGAGACGGTCGAATACAATGGTGCACAGTAGCAGGCCGCAGGACGTAACATTACTTCGAGACGTCCGGCTGCATGATAGGAGTTCCTACCCGACCGATGGGTGCAAGGCTGAGTGTCGCCGGAAGCTGATGAAATCAAAACGCCATCATCGCATGGTTGCTATGAGGCGGACGTGATCGTACCTATAGCCAGACAGTCAAGGCCGCTACCATGGTCGAATCTACACAGACAATTGATATGAGTCACATTAGCGATAGCGGCGAGGTAAGCGTATGTGACCTATAAAATTACACATGTTCTGTACATAATATACTTTGCTCTAGCAGGCTCGGTGTTCTGATTTGCCCGGCTGGGTTCTTGTGACATTGCAGAGTGCAGAGAGAAAAGCAGAGTTAGGACAGCTCGGTAGATTTCGACAGCGATTATAGTAAGGACTCCGTTGTAAGCGAAATGCGCAGTGAACGGCGAAGGCGAAGCAGATGGAATGATGCGCCGAACGGCGCCAAAATAAGGTGGTTTATGGACAGATGTGTCGTCCGCTGAGGAGACTGCTGGATGCCATTTCAGTCACCGCCTGAACAAAGACTGCAGACACTATGCAGATTGGGCCAACGCACTTTTACACTCAGTTAAACGACTGTTTAGGGCTTTTTAATGTGCGCAATCGTCTCAGGTATTTACATCAGAACAGGAGTCAGGGAACAAGCTCGTTTTCAGTGGATCTCCTCAGGCTGGTACACCACAACTGATACGAATAAAATGGGTTAAAACATCAGACGGGAGTAAAGTGCAAAGGTGCGCTTCTTTGACAATTGTGTTTTATGTCGCGAATATCATAAACAATCTTGGAAAATACTTCGACGAAGTAGGATGAATCCTACTAATGTGGCTTTGAAACGACACACGTTGAACGAGTGTGACAACAGTACTTAGAGACTTGATGTTCTGGAGCGTAACCGGCGCGTGTATTCCGTCAGGATGCACAAACTGGAGGCAGACGAACGCTAGCGATTCGAGACGTTTGTTCAGCAAATAATCACAAAGCAAGAAGCAAAAGCTCTAGCGTCATTACAGCGACCAGTTGGCACGACTAAGACAGGGACCTTATTTCCACCTGACCCGGAAAATTACGTTCGCAGTTTTTCCTCCTTGCACCTGGATAATACACTGTTAGAGGTACTTTCATTTGGTCCGAAGTTCCGCTGTCCCCGTAGTTATTCAGGAAAAATAGAATTAGAGGTTCATTTCGAAAATTTGTATTCTCAGATGTCTACACTTACGCCCTCATCAGCATTAGCGTCCGAGTATTTTAAATCTACCCTGGTTAATACATGTTACCAGTATCTAAAGCACAAACCCAACTCAGGTACTTGCTGAAGAAAGACCACCTAGGCGCTCTCAAAGCACTCAAACAAAACGAGAATGTGCTACTCTGTAGGCCGGACAAAAGGGCAGGGATCTTTCTGATGGAGGAACCTGACTATATTGACAAGATGGAGGTTATCCTCAGCGATCGCGCAAAGTTTCGTCAAATGGAGAATAAGAGAGACAAAACAGCGGCAATAGAAAAGACAGTTACTAGGCTTCTGCGGCACCTGAAACAAGAAAACTCGCTTGACTCTACCATGTTCGAACCACTTCAACCCACGGGGAAGGTGATTCCGAGACTTTTCAGCGTACCAAATGTACCTAAAGCGGGGCATCCATTTAGACCCATATTGGACATGTGCATCTCACCTTACCACTCAATAGCCAAGTGGCTAGCCAAGCTTTTAGAACCAGTGCGAAAAGTTTTATCCATGTGTAGTCTCCGTGATACATTCAGTTTCTTGGAGTCAATAAGATATACTAACCTAACCGGAAAAAAGATGTTTTCGTTGGACGTTGTGTCGCTCTTCACGAATGTTCCTTTAGAAGAGACAGTAGACTATCTATGCGACACCATTCGATCACGTCAGTTGAAGGTCGGCCTTTCGAACAATCGGTTGAAACAGCTACTCGTACTGTGTACTAGCAACATACAACTTCAGTTTAATGGGGTAATATACAGACAAAAGGACGGAGTAGCGATGGGCTCACCACTAGGACCGCTGCTGGCAGATGTATACATGAGCAAATTAGAAAACAACTATCTGAGCGGAGCCATTAGCGTGTTACCCAATTCTCGTCGATATGTGAGTGATATATTTTTTTGTGACAGTCATTGCTGCACAGAGCAAATTCTATCCCTTTTAAACTCCTCGCACGACAACGCTGAGTTTAACCTGGGATCTGCAAGTCATGGTAATATATCTTTTCTAGACATCCAACTTAGCAGAAAATCAGATGGGTTGATCCAACGCAGGGTGCACAGAAAAGCCACTTGGCGTGGACAGTACATGCATTGTTCCAGCTTTGTCCCACTAAGGCTGAAGTGGAATTAATTATATGTTTGATGGAAAGGGCAAGAAGGATATGTAGTGAGGACACACTTTCGGACGAGCTGAATTATTTAGCTGGCCTTTTTGAAAGGAACAGCTATCCCGAAAAATTTTTCAGAAAAATATGAAGTGCCAAGAATCGATGGCTGAAACTGATTCGGTTGAAATGAAATTAGTTTATCTCTCGTTGCCATGCAAAGGTGACAGAATAGCGCAGCCAACGTCTAGAAGACTATCCGACGCAATAAACCGTACGCACTACGAGGCAACCTTACGGCTAAGATTTACTTCAACACCATTCGTAAGGCTTCAACTCAAGGACAGACTTCCTCGATCAAGTACATCTTTCTGTGTATACTCATTTACTTGTTCAGGTTGAGCAAGTTATATCGGAAGAACAACCAGGAAACTGTCTGAGAGAATCCGTGAGCATTGCCCGACTTGGCTGTGTGCAGGGGGAACAAAAGCAGTGGCGAGCGACGTGTTGGCACATCCAGTTGATTTTAACCATCAGATCGATAGGTACAAATGTTTTCAGCCAATTTACCACTTACCTGGATGCTACACACAAGCGGTAAGATGTCACTTATTAGCAACAGCCGAAGCGATCGCCGTCCGCCTCCAGAACCCAGACCTACGTGTACAAAAACAAATCGTTCAGATTCTTTCCCTTCCCGGACCCCATATTAC